TTTTAGCCACGCGGGGCGGCTATCTGCATGTGTCCCAAAGTGACGCCCATTTTTTGGTAATGGTATACTCGTTAGAATATGCTCGAACAATGGGGAGAGGAACGAATATACTCGAACTTTGTGAGAGGAGTGAATATACTCGACCAACGGGGAGAGGATCTTTTTTGTCCTAGGGCTTCACATCGAACGAGTTAAATAACACTTCAAAAAAAGTGACTAATGCTATAAGTAGACAAATAGCTTTTCGTGTAGATGCCCTACCGGATCCGACATGTAACCAGTCTTCTTCGCTTGAGAGGGAAAGATGGCTTCGAATCATTGCTATTTGACTCGGACCTGTTCTAAAAAAGCCGAGGCATTTCGAATTGTTTATTGACACGGACAAAGTCAAGGAATAAGAGCCCAAGCGAGTCTTCGCATAATGATTGCTTTTTACCAGCCATTGTATTCCTCAATAAGTGGTCTTTAACAAACAAGAAGTACTCGGCAGCCAAAGACTAGCCAGGTCTAAGGTCAGGCAAGGGCAAGTAACAAAATAAAAACGCCACTTTGGCTCATGATAGATCTTAACCTAAGATAACAAACCCACGTTAAAACGATGAATTCTGGTCTTCTAGCCCATATTAAATTGTTAAGCTCATAAATCGACTCCCCGTGGTCGAAAGATAGAAGCGAAAGCAACTCGACTCTAAAGGAGAGGAGCAGGATTCTCGGTCGGCTTCAAGGAGTGGGGCAGGGGAAAGGAAGACTTTGGACTACTGGGGTAGATGGGCCAACCCCTAATAGATCAAATTAAGAAAGAGGGAGTGAACGACATATAATATAATCCGAATGGGAAGTTTTGCCTCTTTCCATCGTTAGTAGAAGTGGAAGTTCGTCCGTCGTCTCTAGAGAATCGAAAAGACTATTCGGAATGAAGATCAATGTTTTAAAGGGAATTCTCGCAAAAGCTTTTCCGTATTTTAGCCTAAACGACTCCTTAAACCATGCATCAAAACGCTCACCTATCTCGTTTCGTATATTCTCCTCTTTATTGCGGGTTCAATATTAGTATCCTCTTAAAACATCAGTTGCAGCATCAGGATCCACCCTTAATAAAAACCCTACGTACCCTATAACAGGGTGGTCTAAGTCTTCCATAGTCTCAATTCAATCAGAGCTGTTTAGACCACCCAATCGTTCGGGCTACCCTTTTCATGGTTAGGGGAAATACACCAGATATTCGTATCTGTCCCAACGACAAGGCCTCTTCCCATGCTCCGCATCCATTGAATGGAATGCCCATGTCCCCCTCGCGTGGCGACATGAGGACGTAAAAAGGAAAAAGAGAGATGGGGTTTCTCTCACTTTTGGCATAGTGGGCCCCCGGCGGGGGGCCCGCACGACGGGCTATTAGCTCAGTGGTAGAGCGCGCCCCTGATAATTGCGTCGTTGTGCCTGGGCTGTGAGGGCTCTCATCTACATGGATAGTTCAATGTGCTCATCAACGCCTGACCCGGCCAGCATCCCGTGCTTTTATTTTTCGCTCGACATCCATGGGGGAGTCAATAGCTTTTAAAAGTAAGTCTTCTTGCTTTCTGAAATTCTCATCTGACCCATCTATCCTTAGACTCGTTACTCCATTACTTGCGATATTGGCGCAACATCTTTTTCGACGCTGTTAAGAAAGAGGTACTTAGAGCTGTAGAAAGGGTACTGGGAACCATTGGGCGGTGTGGTATTCCGATTCAAGCTGTGAAGCTACCAAATAGGGCGAACCAGACTCGAGCCTTCTCCGAGCCAGTGAAAGTGAAGTGGCGGGCCTACCCATCCCCTCCCAGGGATGAAATGATTAGCCATTTCAAGCGCGATCTGATTTCCCCAGCTTAGGGCTTCCCAAGGGAAAGGAATTCCCCCCAAGAAATAAAGGGGCATGTTCATCTTCAACAGATTGAATGTCGCTTCTGCTGAGATAACTATGAAAATCCTTTTTTTTTTTAGTTAAATATATGAATAGAAAGGGAACGATGAATGGGAATTCCCAAGGCTCCGGTATTGCATCCTTTGATATGTCGGGGTTGATATAAGCACTTTTTTTTCCGAGGATAGAAATGGGAAGGGTGAAAAAAACCCCGTCAGGGAGTGAAATAGAACATGAAACCGTAAGCTCCCAAGCAGTGGGAGGGGACGGACTCTGACCGCGTGCCTGTTGAAGAATGAGCCGGCGACTCATAGCTTCATGAGATTGGATTTCCACCTACTCAATCTTTTACACCGAAGGTGAAAAGGAAGACTGTCCTTTGAACCCAGCCTTCTGTCGTTCGCAAAGAGAAAAAGCTCCCATCATACCGCAAGTGCAATTCTTGCCCCGAGCCTTTTTCGTTTGCAACACTTCAATTTATCTCTCGAAATAGCATTCCATTCGGATTGTTACAACCTCTAGCAGATGGTTTGAAATTGATTCTAAAAGAACCTATTTCACCAAGTAGTGCTAATTTCTCCCTTTTTAGAATGGCTCCAGTGGCTACATTTATGTTAAGTCTGGTCGCTTGGGCCGCGAGTCTCTCCTTCACACCGTTCCAAAACCAAGTGAATTGTGGTCCAACGTATCCCAAGTCCATCAGATCCGAGTCATGGATACAGTCTTCCAAGCTTTTCGTCCGCTCTTTCCGAAGTGAGCGAATTGCATGTAGAGATCCGTAGGTGATTATAGGGAATGAAAGTCGCCATGATGCCCCTGGTTTTCTTATTTATATGGAGTAGCTTCCTAACCGCTTTCCAAACAAAGCGATACAATTGTTTTTATTATTTTTTTAAGAGTTGTCATATCTCGGTAATGGGGTCTGTTGATTTGGTATCACGCTCTGTAGGATTTGAACCTACGACATTGCATCCTTTCGGCTTGTTTTTCGATTAGGCGTTGATGAGCACATTGAATTTAAACAAACTTTTTGGGGATCATACCTTCAAACAAACCATAAAGATATCGTAACTAGTAGCAGTGGGCTGGCCGCCTCACTTGTTAGATGTCGGCTTGTACCTCACCACATATCCCTACTTTCACAAAAGATTTGAATAAAGATTTTCTTTTTTCGAACGATCTGATCTACTCGAGGAATCCTTTTTCGAAATATTATAATATTATGTAAATGAATCCACTAATAAAAAAAATGAAAGAAAAAGGTCTTCAACTGACCTCTTTGGCTGGGGCGGACCTAGAAAGTATGAAGGAGGTCTGAAAGAGAGAGGTGAACCGGGGGGAAGAAAGGGGCCTGGTGTGGAATCGCCATCATTACACATTCATTCTTAGTCTGGCTGCTGGTCTAGTTATCCCCCCCTAGCCTAGCCTGGAGTGCAGGCTGCCTGCTGAAGACCTTAACGTAAGTAACTCAGTGCTCCATACGGGGGAAATGAAAGCAGAGTTCGTTCGGATCCTCCCACATGTTCAATCTTTTATGGTCAGGGCTGTGATTCTATTAGGAGTGAATTCAACTTAGGGTTAGATATGATAAGGGTATCCTGAAAGGGTTCGTGGCCTAGGGTATTCCCCTTAGAGTATTCGGAGAGAGGCTAGTCCCCGCTCGGGCATCGACCCAGGAAGAATCAATTCCAGGCTTATTAATAATTAATAATCCATGACCAAACCGACATAGGTGAACAAGTAGAGTATACTAGGGCGCTTGAGAGAACCATGTCGAAGGAACTCGGCAAAATGACCCCGTAACTTCGGGAGAAGGGGTGCTCTCCTATCTTTTGATTAGGAAAGCGGCACATACCAGGGGTTAGCGACTGTTTATTAAAAACACAGGACCCTGCTAAGTGGTAACACGATGTATAGAGTCTGACACCTGCCCGGTGCTGGAAGGTCGCTTTACAGCAGTGCCCTTCCTACAGGTCTAAAAGGAGTGAGCGAGTTAACCCCCCGCCTTAACGGAAACCGCCCGTAACCCAACAGATCAGCAGATAAAGTACATTACATAGTCTGTTTTAGGGATTGGCAACTTACCCATTCATAGAGGTCTGTTGGCATTCCAGCCTTACTTCTCCTTTCAGGGCCTATCCGAAAGAGAATCTAGTACTTCTGAGTCGTAGGTAGCCACATCCTCTTTTTGATCCGATCGGGCATTCCGCTTGTACCAAGGAATGAAGGAAGTACACCGCAAGTAAATAAACTACCTCTGACCAAGTGTAGCACCCCGCTTACACATTTCCTGTGAAAAGACCGCATGTCCCTCAGAATTTCCTTGCTCCCTACGCTGGAAAGAAGGAGACCTCAAAGTGATATCTGTAGGCCGACCTTGGGATTGATACGCTTCGACTTAGCGTTGATAGGCTAATGCACTCTCTTGATCCTCCTCATTTTCTTTTCGATGGTTCCGTAGCAGTATAGAAACCTTCCACTCTGGTTTCGGCAAAATGCAACACAACAGGGGCGAACCAAGCGCTTGCGCGAAGGTTTAGCTCAATCTATAGAATTGGATGAAAAACGATCCAATTATGGGATTTTTTCAATAACTTGGAAATAAAAAATGCTCGCGGACTGAATGGAAGTGCGATTGTAACTGCTTTATCGGCTCAAGTGGGCAAATGATGGGATGGGCAATGTAGCATTATGGCAGCTTTGCCCTTCTTACTTCGTTCCTCTCCTTCTTGTTCTAATTCAAATGCGAGCTACTTCGCACCTTCTCCCTACGGTCGAACATATTCTAAACCTTCGGTCGAACATATGATAAACCTATCGGTCGAGTGACTTCGTTCCTTCGATTCAAAGGTTGAGGTTTGACAAACCCTACCCTGGAGTAGGAGGGAGCTGAGAGACCACTCCGCTAAGATCCTATGGTACTAAGTACGGTACCTTCTAGAGCTTCTTCCAGGTTGAGTTGGTTATCGGTAAGAAGATTAGTTAGCGACTGACGTTGCCATCGAACTTCAAACCAACAATCTAAGTTGTAGTGTCCTTGCTCTCCTAATATTTGGAGAGTTCATACTGGCCTCCACCCTTAACAGGGTGAGCTCACTATTCCGTTCTACTCCCTTTAATCCAAGGGCCCCCCCATCGATCCATCCTTTCTATCTTCAAATTAAGCTCCTCCCCCATGGATGTCGAGCAAAAAATAAAAGCACGGGATGCTGGGTTAGCTCAGCTCGCTTAAGGACAAGTCGATCATGTAGCTTTAAACAATCCAGCAAGATTTAAACCTCTCCTTTCAGTCGAGCATATTGATAACCTCTCACTTTGTTCGAGTATATTCGTTTATCTCCTCATACACATTTCATATCACTTTCATTCTCTTTACCCTCGCTTCCATTCACCGGTCTCTTGCAGTGGTGCCCGCTATAACGAATGTAGGGCCAGAGAAGAAAAAAACTACTTCAAAGCCCTAAGTCGACAAATACCTGTAGGTCGGGCATATCCGTCAGTCCCCCATATCCTTCGAGAAAGGGTCCCACTTCTGATTCCGGGATTCAATTGCAGCAGTTAGAAGGGCAAGGAAGCCATAATGCTACATTGCCCATTCATGACGAACAACCCCTATAGCAATAGAAGGCGGCCTACTTATAGCCTTATTTTGTTTTGTAGCAAGAAGGTGCAGATGAAGTGAATCAGAAGCATCGACTGTGAGGGAATAGAATGCACAGTGAATCACTAGTCAATATCAAAATATATGGAATAATTGTCTCGATTACTATCCCTAACTAAAAAAGTGTCGTCTGCGCCGAAATCCCGAATGGTATTTACCCTGATTAAATGATCAACATTACTGTAACTAGAACTGTCACCATAACTCAAACTATAGATGTTTTTATATGTATCATTTAAAATTCGGTTTTGACTTCCACCGGTATTTTCAAGAGGACCAAGACTATCCATCGATTTACTTAGCCTACACTTGTATTCTAACCCGAAATTGAACATCGAATTGATCCACCCTTTTTGTGATGTAGTTCCCTTGTCCCGAGCATATGTATTTTATAAATTATCAAAAACACAAGTGATTCACTTATATAAGTTAAGATCTGTCCTTCAATATGACGGAACCTCTCAATTTGTGAAGAATGAAATAAAAGAGTTTTTTGAAACACAAGGATTACTTCATTCCAAATTGGCTTAATACCCTAATTTGGCCCGAAGTTTGGCCACAGTGACAATTTTGGCCCGAATTTTTCAATAAGACAGTTATGGCCAACTTTTCAAATTAATGGACAGATTTGGCCCGAAATTTTCTTTGACTGTTAATATTGACTGTCAAACACTTCTTCCGTTAGCGTGACTCAGCAAAAAATGCTGATGTGGCTTATGCATGGGTGCCACGTCATTATATAATAAGAATTTTAGTTTTTGTAATTCAATTGAAATTAAAAAAAAATTAACAAATTAAATGAATCTCTATTATTCTCCCAAACCCTCAAAGGCCCAAACTCTTCATTGTCGCACCGCTATCATCTTCCCCAAATCCAAGCCCTGCAACCATGAGTCTTGCTCCGCCACAACGCCGCCATCACCCCACAAATGGAATCACCAGGTTCTGCGACGCCTACCTCTGCGAGCGCCTCGCCCTCTAGCTCCACCGCTCCAAATCATTCTCCAGCAGCTGCAACCCCAATGACTCCTCGTCCACCACTTCCACCTCCGCCACCAGCAATCCACAATCTCCGAGCGACGCCGTCGGTTATGTAATTGCTGCCAGAGACGGCTTCCTCTCTCCCTCGGGCCCCGACCTTGCCTCCGTTTTGGTCCCACCGTCTGCGGCGTCAGATGACCTATTTTGTCCCTTTTTCTCTCCCGACGGCGGCCCCTGTTGGAGGAAGAAACAACCGTCATTCCACCGTGCCGCCGTGGTGGATCCAGAGACAACGCCCGGGTCTCCTCTGATCTCCTCCTTCCTGAACTCACACCATTTGGCGATAACATTTTTGTAGGAAAGAGATCGGGTGGGAGACGCCATTTGACGATGATGTCGATTTAGATTAGGGTTTGAATTTGGGAATTTTGCGATAAGAAGAGGGATTCTTTCAATTTGTTGATTTTGTTATTTCAATTGAATTATAAAAATTAATATTTTATTATATAATGACATGGCACCACATCAACATTTTTTGCTGGGTTACTAATGGAAGTAGTGTTTGACCGTCAATATTAACGGTCAAAGAAAATTTCGGGCCAAATATGTCCATTAATTTGAAAAGTTGGCCTTAACGGTCTTATTGAAAAATTCGGGCCAAAATTGTCACTGTGGCCAAACTTCAGGCCAAACTAGGGTATTAAGCCTTCCAAATTAAAAAGTAAGAATTTGGAAATTTTTTTAATGAATGAATGGAAAACCTGGTTAATAAATCATTATCAATATAAATACAATTTATCTAAAATTAAATGGTCTAAACTAATACCCCAAAAATGGGGATATAGAATCAACCAATGCCTGCTCTGTGAACAATCCTAGTTGCTGGTCCTTGGCTGATAGGAAGGGCAGGAGACTTGTAGAAGAATACTGGACTAGTCCTTTGAGAAAATTGGATTTGTGAAGGTCTAGCAACCAGACCTGCTTTACTTTGTTTGGGCTAGTTTTCATATGGCTTGCTCCTAGAATCCCTAGTGCCGTGGGGCCCTCTTATCAAGCACTTCTTATTTCTTTCCTTACTTTCGTCCCTCAGTTTGGTTGGCAAACTAATTCATGGGACGATATGGACCTTTTGTATTTGAAATTTTTTTCAGGAGGGGTTCCTGAGATAGACGATAGTTGATAGAGTAATTCTTGATCATAATTTCCAGTGTGAGTAGTGCGGCCAATATGAAATTTGTGATTGGTAGTAAAACACCTATGCCGCATAATGGCTGCAGGCCCCCCTAAAAAAAGACGCGTATAAGAATAAACATTGAAGGCATTCCAAACGCTTATTGTTCCAACCGCGGGCAAGCATTCCAACACACTCGCATCCGGCGAAAACCTTGCACTTTGAGGTCTTCCTTGGAAATCTCTTCAAATGCCCGTTTTGAACAAAATAAATGGCACCGAAAGGTCAACCAACGGAGTCAAATGACTCGTTTTTGTCAGAAGTCCAGTCCAACATAGGTTATATATTGCATCTCGGGTTTAGTTAGTAAAGTAGAGTTCGAATAAAGAAACTAAAGTGATGAGGTCAATAGGTATCTAGTTTCGAGAAAATTGATACATGTCTTGCAAGTTGGAAGGTGGAGACCATGTCTTTGGCGGCGTCAATCACGTTGGTTCAGTCGGTCCTCTCCTCACTCTCGGCTTATACCTTGCAGACGAGCTTCCTGCCGGCAAGCGTTCGGGGAACTGGAATCTCCTGGACCTTTCCAACCATTAAAGGTACGTGCTTATTACAGCTTAACCCATTACAGATACCACCCCGGAAATTAGGATCCCCAAAGCCGGGCTCTCTCATCCGGCTACTTCCTTTGAGTTAGATCGAAAAGAGTCTCTTATCAGCAAGTTCCTTTCAGGGGGAATCATTATTCGTAAGTTCCCGCGGGTTGGTTTTATTCAATTCAACGATTGACCGCCATAGTAGTGTCTCATAAAAAGCGGCTCCTCCCCCTTCGCTATAAGCCGAGTTCCCAAGTTGGGGAGTACTGGTTCCAGGTCTTTCCTTTCCTGTATGGCTGGAAGTCCCTCCAGGTTGTCTGGTTAACCGGGCTACCTATTCAAAGATGGAATGGGAGAAAGCGGCTCGATCGACAAAAAAGAAGAATAGCCGTTATTTATTTTATAATTGAAGAAAAGCGAATTCGGCCTTAGAGAGCCATTCATTCATTGCTTTCAAGTACTCCTTCGAGTCTCACGCTAATACATTACTTTTATTGCTCTCTTGCTTGGGTTCCCCTTCCCCTCTCCATATCTCTTTTGACTCTATATATGTGGGCACTTGATATCTATGAGGGCAGGTAAACGATTTGCGTGAGATAAGGTAATCATGAAACTTTGACCAATGTATCTTGCAGCTCGGATGGTTTGTTGACCATAATTCATGAACCCGGTTATCATGGGGAACATATCTGTAACTGAGAGGCTAGGCTGGTTTGTTTGAAGAGAATTTTTTCTGGAAATAATATGTAAGGGGATTCACGCACTCGGACGAAGGCATTCCAGTTAAAAAACGGCAAAGACTTCGCGTAAAGCGTTGGAAAAAGTCCACATCCGAACTCTCGAACATATTCCACGCTTGCTATATTAACTAGTTCTATGTAACTCTACCAGGGTCGGGCACCCGAGTTCCATTACTAGTATCTAGTAGTGCTTGCCCTACACCTGGGAAAGAAGAGACATTCATTCCCAGTATCTCCCGGTCCCATATCCTGGAAGAGACACTATACACCAGCGCTTACTTAGAGAAAAGCAGAGGTCTCTCCGTACCACGATAAAATTCAAATTGATTAAGACTGACATATAGGCAGCGTGTTCGCCACCACACTTTATTAATGAAATTTACAAAATGGGAACACCCTTTAAAAGATTACGTGGTACGATTGGATCGAATAAGCCCTTATGGAATAAAAATTCGGCCGATTGTGAACCTTCATGCACTGTCTTATTCAATGTTTGTTCAATTACTCTTTTACCCGCCTTTTTTACAAGAGTTCTAGAGAACCTCAAAGGGAGCAAATCGAAGGCGCTTTTACTTATTTTTAACTCTGTGTGTGCTTTTTGCCCTAGAACAGAGCTGTTTTTTTTAACTCCTGATAGCGAATGAGCAGATGGTCTCCTCTTCAAAAGCCTTACAGTTCGCTGAGGGAAGAAAGAGAATCCATTCCTTCCCCCCTTTTCACCACATCGGGGCTATGGGAGTTGAACCCACCCAATTCGGCCGCGAACCCCCGCAAAGAAGGAAGAAGAACTAGTGCTTTTCCCGAGGATGTCTGTGCGTGCTCTCCCGCTCTCAATTCTAAAATCCAGGATTTTTATTGATTCCTTGTAAATTGCATTGATTTATCCTAAAGATTTCATTTCAATTGGAATTTGGTTATTCACCATGTACGAGGATCCCTGCTAAGCATCCATGGCAGAATGGTTAAAGCGCCCAACTCATAATTGGCGAATTCGTAGGTTCGCCCCCCCCATTTCGTCAAGGTAGGCGAGACGTATTCTATCATAACCCGTTCCCGCTAAGAAAAAAAGTGCAGCGCCTGCTACTTCTTCCCTTGTGCCTATTTCTTTTGCATTCTCGCGGGATAAAAAAAAGTCTTCCTCTCTTTTTCACTCCCTCCTCTCCCCATTGTTCAAGCATATTGTAACGAGTATACCCACCCCGCGTGGCTAAAAGTAAGCCAAAAGAGCTCGAACTTGCTTCTTGGTACAAGGGGAGGGGCGAAGAATTCTAGTTCTCGTTCTGCTTCTGCCTAATCTTTAGTACCGCTTTGAGATTGAATCTTTAGGACCATGCGCTTAAGAGGAACTTTTTTTAGCAGGTTGTAGCAGTGCAGACTAAAGAGCATAATGTAATTGGAGGGAAAGCTCGTGTGAGGCAGAAATTTGATACAATAATTCCAATTCTTTCGTTGATTGGAGCCTTGGAAAAAGCCAAATTTTGTAATGGAGTTGGGCATCCCATTAGTCAACCAGCTTGGGCTGATTCACCCGATTCAGATATTATTGATCGATTTCTCTGGCGCGAGACTCTTTCGCCGTTAATGAATTCGGTAAGGAAAGGAAGGGTAGAGCCTCATGGTCAATTGAATAAGCACTTCCCTCAAAATTCGTCGAACTCGAAATAAGAGGCCTTTTGAAAGAAGCTATTCAGGAACAGATGGAACGCTTTTTGCTTCAAGAACAAGCATAAAAACTCGATTATTATTTAATTATTTAAATAATAATAATTAAATATACAAAATTTATTCGAATTTATCCACCAGACTCCGAAATAATCATAATAAGGGCTTTACAGTGCGAAGCCTAGCTGATCGGAGTTTGCCAGGCATGCCTTTTATTTTCTCGGGGTATATGAAGAAACGTAGTGCTATCAAACTTTTGACCCAGGGCTGATTTCTCATCAAAGACGGCTTGGAAGAAATTGAACCTTTCCCTTCGGAAATGAATAAAAGATCATGAGAAAATTTAGTCTTTGTGTCATTCAACACAGCAAGATATATCCTTCGCGGGGCTTCTTTATTGAAAAGGGGGGAGTAAGGGGTGGTAATGGTTGGAGCAGCAAACTCGGATTCGGCAAGAATCTCAATTTTTGGTAGTACAAAGGGGGAATTGGCCCAAAAATTGGATAGGGGTCAAGACGTAGTCGGGTGCCGGCGGCTGACTCAAGTGCCCCCCCCCCCCCTCTGAAGTGCCTAGACGCGCCGCAGCCACTACTTCTCCTCCTTTTATGCAATTATGAACTCCACGAGACTTTCTCGATGCCAACGCAACTTATCCTTTTGGATCTGAATTTTTTTTTCTCTCCACTCGAATCAATCCGCCTACTCGGCTTCTTGTATTTAAAGTGATTTGTGTATCTACTCCATATCGTAGTGATGGTATTGATTACTTGGTCTCTGCTTGGGGTCTGGAACAACCCTGTGTAGGGAGTGGGCTACTTTCCTTTAATGTTTACTATTTGTTTCGAAAAGGCTGCTAATGGATGGCTGTAAGAGGATCTGTAGATTCTTTCAACGCCTGAAGAAATGGATTTCCCGGACCCTCTGGCTAGTCGTTCATGCAACACACCTGGGCTCCCCAAATCACATCTCATGAGGGTACTTATTGGGCAAGGGCGTATCATTTCATCAATTAGCCTGTCTTACTAGGGGGAGGAAGAAGCGCAACTAGTCTTTAGTTGTCACAATTCTCTCTCTCTCTTTGACACCGAATCTGCTCTTCGGCTAGCTTTGAAGAGAAGAAAGAGGGGTCGGAAAGCGAAAGGGCAGAGCATATGTAGCTCCTGAGCTTTTATAGGATAATTCCGGATAGTGAAGAAAGAACAAGATGTTTCTTTTGTCCCTTCCAGGCGATCGGAAAAGAAAGAAATAGTTAATATATTCAAGATGATTACGCATTTACAAAATACTGTCTCAATTCATTCTATTTCATTAG